CCAGTACCTTAATCTTGTACTTTTAGCCTTCTGAAGTGTGAAACAGTACATCTCTGTTGTTCTAAGACAACTACTTTTTGGCACCTTGTCACAACATTTCTGAAAATTAACACATCTTGTGAATAAACAACTTCGGACTCAATCAGCCAGTGCCAGTCAAGCTGCCACATACTGCATCCTGTTATCTTGATGGCGATTACTGAGATACCCTGAGCCAGAACACCCAGCTAAGCTGCTCCTGAATTCTCAACCCTTAGCTATTAGGTGATAAACGCTGGATATTTTAACTGTCATCACCGACAGAATTGTATCTCCCTCCAAGTTCATTATGTGGAAGCCCTGAGCCCTAGTGGGACTGTATTTGAAGGTAGAGTCTTAAAAAGGATAACTAATATTAATTAAGGTCATTAGGATATAACCATCCTAAAAGGAAGATGAACTGACAGCAAAGACATGCACATGGAGGGAAAGAAGCCAGGACAGGACTTGACAAGTGAGAAGGTGGCTGACTGCAGGCCAAGGCGAGAGTCCTAAGCAGAAAGCAAACATACCAGTGCCTTGACCTTGGGTTTTCAGCCTCCAGAACTGTGAGAAAATAAAGCAGCAAGAAAAATATGACTTAGTCTCAGTAAAAAAGCCCAAGGAAATTAACTGTGTATGACCCATATACCTGATTTCCGTGTTTAAGTCAGTCTGTGGTTTTCTGTATGGCTGCCTCAGCAGAATAATCCAGCTGCTAAGTTTCGTAGTATCTTGTCACAAAACAAGAGGTAATAGGGTCTCCCTTGTGGCGGAGGGGTTAAGTCTCAGCGCTACCACTTCTAAGGTTTGAGTTTACCATCTCACCATCGAGCTAAACCCCATGGCAAGGCAGACCTCTCCTGTCTCGCTTGCTGCTTCCCTCAGCAGTGTATTTCAGTCAATCTGCCTGTTCTGTTCCCCACTGTCTCTGGTGAATCCTCTCATCCCTTGTACCTCTGGCTTCACCCCAGTTTTTCTACCCAAAAAATAAAAAAAAATTTTAAAACCAAAACACATTTTCCATATCTGTTCACAACCCAAAACTGCCTGAATATTCTAGCTCACAAAGCATGCAAACTAGGAACTTCAGCAAAATGTCTTTGAACAAATTTGGTGTCTGAAGCTTGACGTCCTTGCAGGTTATGAAAGAAGCTCTGTGATAAATCTGTCACAGGAGGAACAAGTGTCCCCATGAGTGACCTCTCAGTTTTAAATGAAAGTAGTAGGGGAAGGCAATTAGCCTTTGTGTGATCCTGTTTGATTTTTGATCCTGAGCATAACCAAGATCACAAGAGGAAAATGGGAGACGAGTATGTTTCTAGCCCAACTGAGAACTTCTGTCCACTAGAAACAACCATTACTGTACTGCTCCATGAAGGAGAGGTGCCATTTTTCCTATCCACAATTATTTAAAGTATCCTTGGATTACATGTCCCAGTTTCCCATGGACCAGACTTCCAGAGCCTGGGAGCTAGAATTAGGGGAGCAGCAGAGCAGCAAGGTGAAGTCACAAAACACAGAAGGCAGGTAAGCTCTCAGGGGCTTCTGATTCCCTTGTTGTGACTTGCACCCAGGGGTTTGGGGGAACTTGGAAGGACACATGTGGAAAAGAGACACGTAGAGAGACTTGAAGAGACGTGGATGAGAGACACGTGGGAAGGCTGTCCTAGGCCGAGACAATGGCCGTCACTACCTTGATTTGTAATTTGATTTTGCTGCTTTTATCCCAGACCTGCTTTGCCCCTTTTCTTGCTGTCCCCCACCAGAAGGCACCTTAGAGGACTGGCAAGATTTCAGGCCTCAGCAGCCCTGCTTTGGGCCAACCCTGTTTGGGCATTTGCCCCCTGAAGCAATGGGTAATTTGGGGTGTTTTATTGGAAAACTTTTATTAGGAATATCCTCTCTTCTTTTCTCTATGCACCCTAATTCTATTAAAAATCTATCATGCTGTGAGTATGCTTCCTTTGTCTTTGTGAGCATGGATGACTGGATCCCTTTAGATCACGTTCCCCTTAAAAGGTTGGGGTCCCCGGGTACCCCTCAGTCATGTGCTAACACTACCATTCCTCTGCCTTCCCTGACAGTTTGCACCCACCTCTCTACAAACATGCAATGACATGAAATTAAGCCCCCAAAAGACAAACACTTGCTCTTCCTGAACAATAAATGGTTTCAGCTATCTGTTAAATTTTGATTATATTTCCCAGAACAGAGTAAGCATTAAATAAATATTTGCAAATGATTGAATCCAGAAGATCTGGCCTGTTTAACTCTATACTCAGACGGTCCTAAACCAAGTCTTTCAAAAGGCAGCACTGAGCTGTGAAGTTTGCTTACTCATCTTAATTCCTTAGGAGAACTCTTTCTGCAGTAGCTCCTCACCAGTTCAGTCTTGTCTGTTTGATTTCTCTGATAATCAATTTATTCTACAGTTTCCAGTTTCTTGTTGATAGGTAAGCTCTCCCTAGTTTAACTCTTTCTGGTTCTTTCCCCATGCCAATGGCCTGTTGTTTTTCCTGTGCATTTTTCAAACATAACCGAGTATACCATTAGCCTGCCCTATTGGACCACTTCCCTACCCCTCTCTCTGGCCTAAATCATCACACAACTTACAATCAATCAGCTCTTTCAACCGTCTCACCTACCCCATTTTAGGGAAGGCCAAAGAGAAAATTCACCAAACTGTTTAAGGTTGAGAACCTGTATTTTATGATTTAATGACTTAAGTCTGTTTAGTTTTGGTTCCTTGGATTTTGTCACCACTGATTTGAAAGAGGAGGAAAGAACTGTTTCACATTCAAAAAACAAATGTCTATACATAATATATATTTAAAAGGTCACAGATCTGTGCATGAATATGGTTATAAAGGGTAATCTTTAGTGTTTTATTTGGCCCACAACTCCTTTCACGGAACCATTTGCTGCAACCAAAGGGAAGGTAGAGTTTGTGCTAAGTATCTAGGGGTACCATGCTTATCAAAGCCAAAAAGGCAGCTAAAATACCAGTAGTTCTAGTCACATTTCATTATTAAATCTGGTCTATACTTCATTTATATGTGTGTATAGTTTATTAAGCTAATTTCTAGAAACATTCAGAAAACACAACCCTTTCTAAAATGGAAAATTCTCCAAAAGATCTTTAATTGCATTGATAACGTTAACTAAGGAGACACTTGCCTTCAAAGTTGTCAAATCCTTTCTCTAGCTAAAACCATTTGAAAGTTGATCCTTAAGGTTTGCAAAAAGCATTGCTCTAACTCATGCTAACAGCTAACACTTAGCATGTCCTTACCAGGTGCAGGCCATTGTGCTCATGTGCTTAGTATCTATCATTTAATCCTGCAACAGCCTTGTGAGAGAAGTGATGCACAGGAAGATTATTGCATAGGAAAATCCTGATGCATAGCAAGTAATTCTCCATAGACACCCAGGTGATAGATGATCGAGCAGGATTTAACCCACGGTGAAATCTCTGATTCCAGAACTTTCTTGCCTCTTGGGTTTCTAGCAGCTTCACTAATGATATTCTCTTCAGTTACCTAAGTGCTGGCATCAAGATTTCATTGCGTGACCACAAACCTTTGTTGCCAGGACCTAGACCAGAGCAGAAATGTCTCCTCCTTTATCGAGAAGACAGCCCTCTGGCAGTGAGCGAATATTCTCCAAGGAAGTCCTCAGTTAACGTTTCCTGAATGAATAGATCTAGTTTGGAATTTTTAAAAATAAGTAAATATATAAAAATGATTTATATCCATTGCAGAATCAAAACAGAGAGACTGTCTCAAAATCTCCTCTCACTAAGTGCTCTCCTGAAAGCCTGTGTGATCCACTCTGATGATTCAGGAAGGAGAATTCACAGAAATAAATAAAAAAAAAATCTAACAATGGGAGATGAGAGTTGGGGGCTGTGGGGATTATTCCGTGAGAAAAGAGAACAAGGTGCTAGACCTAAAGAGATGAGTCTCTTTGGATATATACCTCCAACCTAAGTCCATAATGGGTGGTCAGAAAAGCCAAGGGGAGGGGAGACTAAAATGTCAGGACTCCAGCGTGGTTCTATATAAAATTCGTATCAACACTCCACCGCCCTCGCAAGTGCTCAGATCTGGAAGAAAGTGCCGTTGGAGTGAAGCAGGGAGGCCTAGATGACTTCCCAAGATAGCTATATATTTTTTAAATAAATTTTATTTTTATATTCCCCATACAATTGCAACCCCCTTATTTTGACCCCAATCCCTCCCCTCCTGCCCCCCAACTCCCATAGAGTGTCTCTGGTTCATAGTTTTTTGTTGATTTTGATTTTCACTTTCTTATAGTTATTCATTTTCCTGGTCCCTTATTTAAGTTTTCTAGATTCCTGCTATGAGTGAGACCATCCGGTATTTTTCTTTTTCTTTCTGGCTTATTTCGCTGAGCATGATCCCTTCCAGCGCCATCCATGTTGCTGCAAATTGCATGTGTTTCAAGATAGCTGTATTTTTGAAAGGTCGGTATTGAACGCAGCAGGGCTCGGAGGGGGCGAACCAGCACCTGCCGCGGGCAGGGCGGCCCCGCGACAGCGCGTCCGAGCGCGCAGCCCCGAGCCGGGCCCGGGCGGGCGGGCGGCCGCCGGGGGCGCGCGAGGATCGTCCGGGGCGCGGGGTGGAGCCCGGGGCGCGGGGCTGGACTTCGGGGCAAGATCAGACGCGCGTCGGGGCCGAGCCGGACGCTGTCTGGCGGCGTCTCCCAGCCGCGGGGTCAGGCCCCGCGCTGCGGCTCTGGCCCGGGGCTCCTGGCGCGCGGCCGGCCGCACCCCGCGCCCCCCGCCGAGGTCGGTGACCCGGGGCAGGCGCCGGCGGCCCGCGGCTATAGGCCGCGTGGCGGGGCGGGAGGGGGCGCGGCCGGGGCGAGGCCCGGGGCGGGCTCTCCCCCTGCAGGTGGACTTTGCCGGACTCGCCCCGAGACCCAGCGCGGCCTGCAGGCGGGAACCCCAGCGGAGCTCCCGGCCCCCGCGCGTGGACCTGCTGGATCTCGCGGGCAGCCGCCGGGGTCTCTCCGGAGAGAGCAGCGGTGACTGGACGTGGCCGGCTTTTCCAGTCCTCAGCAGCTGAAGAAGGCGCCGGGCACCAGAGGCATGAATTACTCACGGTTCCTCACGGCCACCAGCAAGGCCAGGAAGCCCTCCACCCTCCGAGTCCTAAGTGAGTCCTGGGCCCGTGGCTCCTCGCCCTCCCGGGGAGGGGGCCTTGCTTGGTTGCATTCATTCATTCCGCTGGGGAAGCTCTCCTCGAGGCAGCGCCGGTTCGATCCCCGGCCACTGGGGAGGGTCCCACATGGCGCGCAGACCCCTCCTGCCGCCCGCTGCTCCCCTCAGCAGTGTACTTCGGTCCTTCTGCTTGCTCTGCTCCCCGCTCTGGCTCTGGTGAATTCTCTCACCCTCCCGCGCTTCTGACTGTACCCAGTGCTTGTATAAATAAATAAATCTTTTTTAAAAATCTTAATTTAAAAAAAAAAAGAAAGCTCTCCTCGAGACAGCTGAGCTGGGCGAGCAGACCCTTGAGTTTGGCCGCAGGTGGGGGCTAAAAGGAGGGTGTTTGTCACCTTCTTTCCTTCGTGCTCGCTCTGACTTTGAGTTGGAGATCTCTACCACTGAGAAGGGTTCAGGAAAAGCTGTTCCAGATGTTTACTTTAGACTAACATTCTGTCACCAGAAATTGTTCAGTTTTTAGTTAGGCTGTAATTAATGCGGCAGACAGAACTCTCTCAGTTGGTGAAGGTCTTCAGTGACCGTGTCTGCTTCTCTTGCATGTTCATTGTAGCTGACTTACTGATCGCCTCGCCCAAATCAGTCATCTCCTTAGCTACCGGAGCGCCAAATGAGAAAACGTTCCCGTTTAAGAGCGCGACGATCACCGTGGAAAATGGAGAGACCATCCAATTTGAAGCCGAGATGATGAAGAGAGCTCTTCAGTATTCTCAAAGTGCTGGGTAGTTACCATAGATAATATCACTTGGCTTGCTTATTGTCATGAGCTGTATTCTAAGGGCTCCTGGTAAAAATGACGGGTGTCTTTTTTTTTTTTTTTAAATGGGTACTCGACAGTTAGGAAGGTTTGGGGAAGAGTTTTCAAATAGTAAGAGCAGTGAGGATAGTCAATGCTTATCCTTCATCGGCTGCTGCTTGACCTTAATCGACTTGGGGAGTCAGAGAAGGCTTCTGGGAGAAAGTACCATTTGAGCTGAGTCTGCAAAAAGTGAGAGGGTTAGGTGAGGAGATAGGTGTGGAGAAAAGAGGAAAAGCCTGCCCCAGGAAGCAGCAAATTTAAGTCCTGGGGCATTTTCTAATCATTGTGTTTTGCTTTAAGCAAGCAGCTGGGTAAATATGTTGCTCTCAGATAAGATGTCCTTAATTTCTTAAAGGCAAGATGGAACACATTCCTTAGGGCCTTCCTTAGCTTGTCTTCTTCCAATGATTACAAATTATACTTTATTAAAGGCTACTTTGCACTGCCACAAAAAAAATTACATTCAAATGAATTATATGTAATAATATATACAAAGGTGTTTGTTTCCATGCTATAGGGACTATATGGACCCTGAACTTCTAGGTATCCTATGGAAATGTCCCTAAGAACAAAGACTTGACTATGCAGTGAGTGATCTAGTGGAAAAGAAAAAAATGAAGACTTTGGAATAAAAAAGATGTAGATTCAAACCTCAGTTCATTTAAGCTACTGTTTGGATTTTGTGACGGTCACAAAACCTCTAATCTGTTGCCTTCTCTTTTTAAATAGGGATATTATTAATATTGACAAAAAGGCATTTCAGGATTTTTTAATTGAATGTGTAAAATGCCTCATATAAAGCTACCCTTTAACTCCTGTCTACTATTATTATGACTTTTACTGCTATAAATTTGAAAATTCATTTTATGCTTTAGAATCCCAGAGCTGGTATCCTGGCTAAAACAGCTTCAAGTAAAATTGCACAATCCTCCCACCATCAATCATCCCTCCAATCAAGGAAAATTGGACTTATGCGTCACAAATGGCAGCCAAGAAGGCCTTTGTAAGGTAAGACTGACAGGGAAGGCTACCCCACATTAAGAACCATGTAAGTCCGTCAATACTGTCATCTCTCACTTAACCACAAGAGGATCATGTTTTGTGAGTTACTGTGGTCTTCTTGTCATTATCTAGAATTATAAATAGGAAACTTAAAGACATTCACCAACCTGATTTTTGTAAAGTACAGGTCATGTGATCAATGACCCAGAGGTTGGCGTCATTAAAACAAGGTTCCTATTAAGGGAGTACCCAACTCCTACAATTTTTAAAATGCTCTGCTCCTCTGACTATGTCATTTCCACACTGGGCAGCTGTCCTCTGGCCTACTCCCTCCCTCCTTTGCTTCCCCTCCTCTACGCAACCATTACTTATTGGCATCCCATAAGGCTCAGTCCTTGAACCTCTTGCCCCTTAATCTATATGCTTTCCCCAGTACCTCCATTCACACCCATGTGGCCAGTCATATGCCAGTGACTCCAAAGCTCCATCCAAATTCATTTATTCATCTGTCCACCCAACACTTGATACTTCAGAGGCACCTCAAACCAAGACACTCGTCATCTTCTCCCTCAAATGGCCAATTTTGAGTTCTGTTTAGTTTGGTTGAATGATACTATTCCCACCATCCCCATGATTTCACAACCAGAAGTCTAGGAGTCACCATCAACACCTCTTCCTCACTCCCTTACAATCCATAGTTGTTTTGATTTCCCTAAGACCTCTTAGCTGTCCTCTCCAATTAAAGCATCAGTCTCCTGATCCAAAGTACCCTCTACTGTCCACAGGGTGGCAGCAAAAACTTCCCTAAAATCCTAAAAACTTTCCACATGTAATCTCACTCCACTTATTCTGTCATATTACAGCCAAACTGATGTCAAAATGCTTAGCTGAGCACCTTCCTGGCTTCACTAGGCCCAAATGCCCACTTCTGTCTCGCCTCATTCCACTCCTCTTTACAATCCCCTCAAGTCACAGAATTCTTGGGGTTATTCAAAATGTAACTTGCCACCCATACACCTACACATCACTTCCTCAGGAGGCCTCCCTGAATGTCTTGAATTCCAGGACACTTGAGTTTTTATAGCATCAAGCATCCATACCTAATAGCAAAGGTGTTCACTTCATCTTCACTAGGAGTGGATTCCATCTCAAAAATCCACTTTCTTTGCTCATCCATAAGAAGCAACTCTTCATCCATTAAAGTTTTATTATTAGAGAGTGGCAAATAAGTCACATCTTCAGGCTCTATTTCTAATTCTAGTTCTCTTGCTATTTCCACCACATCCTCCACTACAGGCCTGAACCCCTCAAAGTCATCCATGGTAGCTGGAATCGGCTTCTTCCAAACTCCTGTTAATGCTGATAATTTTGACCTCCTCCCATCATGAATGTTCTTAATGGCATCTAGAATAGTGAATTCCTTCCAGAAGATTTTCAATTTACATTGTTCACATCCTCAGAGGAATCATTACTTATAGAACCTATAGCTTTGTGAAGTGCATTTCTTACATAAGACTTGAAAGTCAAAATGACTCCTTGTCCTTAGGCTGCAGGATGGATGTTGTGTTAGAAGGTATGACATCAGAACAGATCACCGCTCCATCTCCATTAAAGCTTGTGGGTGACCAGGTGCATTGTCAAAGAGCAGCAATATTTTAAAAGAAATATTTTTCCTGAGGAATTGCTATTGGTCTCAACAGTTCGCTTAAAACATTCAAAAACAGATGTGCTGTCATCCAGATAGCACTTTATTATTCCATATACAGAGCACAGAGTAGAGTCAGAATAATTCCTAAGCCCTCTAGGATTTTCAGAATGGTAAATAAAAATCATAAAGTCACCAGCTATATTAGCCCTTAACAAGAGTCAGCCTGTCCTCTGAAGCTAAGGATTGACTTCTCTCCAGCTTAGACATTCTTTAGCATCTTCCAAAACAAGGCTATTTTGTGTACTTTGAAAATCTGTTGTTTGGTGTAGCCACCATCATCAATAATCTAGTTACATCTTCTAGATATCTGGCTGCAGCTGCTACATCAGCGCTTGTTGCTTCATCTCATACTTTTATGTTACAAAGACGGCTTCTTTCCTTAAGCCTCATGAACCAACCTCTGCTGGCTTCAAACTTTTCTTCTGCAGTTTCATCATCTCTCTCAGGCTTCACAGAATTGAAGAGTTAGGTGCTTGCTCTGGATTAGGCTTTGGTTTAAGGAAATGTAGTGGCTAGTCTGATCTTCTATCTGGACCACTAAAACTTTCCCCACATCAACAGTAAGTGTGTTTGTCTTCTTGACATTTATATGTTCACTTTTCATTTCCTTCAAGAACTTTTCCTTTGCATTCACAGCTTGGCTAACTGTTGGGCACAGAGGTCTAGCTTCCCAGCCTATCTCAGCTTTCAACATGCCTTCCTCACTAAGCTTACTCATTTCTAGCTTTTGAGTTAAAATGAGAGAGACATGCAACTCTTCCTTTCACTTGGACACCTAGAAGCCAGGGTAAGTTATTAACTGGTCTAATTTCAGTATTTTTCTATCTCAGGGAATAGGAAAACCCAAAGAGAGCTAGACATGGGGAACTGCTGGAGCAGTTCAGTGCTCAGTGGAGCAGTCAGAATAAACACATTTTTTAATTAAGTTTGCCATCTTATATGGGTGCAGTTCATAGCTCTCCAAAACAGTAACAACAATGACATTGAGGTCTGTGATTATAGATCATCATAATAGATATAACAGGGCCTCCCTGATGGCACAGGGGTTAAAGTCTCAGTGCTATCAAGCTATCACCAGCCACTGAGGCATGAGTTCGATCCCGGCCAGCAACCTAACCCACAGAGTGCAGCAAACCTCTCCTGTCTCTCTCCTAATGCTCCCCTCAGCAGTGTATTTGGATCTGCCTGTTCTGCTCCTCACTCTTGTCTCTGGTGAATCCTCTCATCCCCAGCACCTCTGGCCTACACCCCAGTTAGTGTATGCATAAATAAATAAAAATAACTATTTAAAAATAATAGATATAATAATGAAAAAGTTTGAAATATTGTGAGAATTACCAAAATGTGACACAGAGATACAAAGTAAGCACATGATGTTGGAAAAATGGCATCCAAAGACTGCTGGAGGCAGGATTGCCATAAGCTCCACTTTGTAAAAGATACAGTATCTGTGGGGTACAATAGGATGATGTGCAATAAAATGAGACATGTCTGTATATCCAAGCTAATCAATGCTGCTTTTTTTAGGTGTTCGAAATGATCCTTAACCCTGGAGATAATATCCTCCTAAATGAGCCTACTTATTCAGGAACACTTCATGCTGTGAGTACACATTTTTTAAAAAGCCACCTCTCATAACAAATACAAGAAATCATTGAATCTTTAGAATTATCTCTCCACCGAAAAATAAAATAGCATCTTTCCTCTGTAAACAGAATCTAAAATTACATATGCAAATAAAGTCCCTCTGCTTTATATATTACTTTTTGCAAAATGCATCTAAATGTATAGAAGCTAAAATAAGGTGGTATAAAATTATGTCCAGTTTTCTTAAAACCAGTATTCACTTGAAAAGTGACTTAATTTATGAAAAGTTATTTTTTCAGTACTATTTTTTATTGCCATATGCCTAAGTATAATCATTGTTATATGTTGATTTAATATAACTGTAAACTACTATGGTATAATTAGGACTTTTCATTCCAGTGTTAACTTAATGAGATTTTAATATGTTGAATGAAGAAGCTGACTGTCCAGCTCTGCTGCGTGCTGGTTAGAACATACCACTGAGTATTAGGTTTGCTTGGAGCACAATACTTTAGAGTGGGTGTGGGGGGGGTGTTTTGGGGGGGTTGTGTGTGGGAGTGTGGGTGTGTGTGTGTACACAAACTGGAGCACACTCAGAGAAGAATAATCAGAGTGAGTAGGAAATTGGAAGCCTATCAGATGAATAATGATTATAGGAACTGTGGATGTTTTCCCCCAAAAGAGAAGATTCAACAAAGACATGAAAATTGTCCCCAAATATATCAAAGTTAACCATGGACTTATTTGTGCATGTCCTAAGGTTGATAGGACTGGAACTAAAAGGATAGAAATTACCTGAAAGTAATTTCTCACCATCTTACCTAACTTCTCACCATCTTACCTAACTCCCTGAGAGGTAAAACATTGCCCCAGCTAAAGTGCTCAACTTTTCCCTAGATTGCCACATAACAAATGTTTCCTTAGAACAGAGAAATTGAATTAGATGCCCTTTATGCTCTATTGATTTTAAATTCATGGGTTCTCTTTTTTTTTTCCAAATTTAATATTACCTTTACAAGAATCAATATATAAAGCATTAACTATTCTTAGAAAAGGCAGATTTTCTCAATACTCTTAAGGAAGGATAGAAATGGTATTGTAAAAATTACTTTTTTCCAATGAATAATCTGAAAAATAAATTAAGGAAACAATTCCATTTGTAATAGTATTCAAAAGCATCAAATATTTGGGGAAAAATCTAAGAAGGTGAGTGGCATGTACATAAAAACTATAGCACGGTGCAGAAAGAAATTAAAGACCTAAATAAATGGAAAGACATCACCTATTCATGTACTGTAAGACTTAATATTGTTAAGATGTCAGTACTACCAAAGCAATCTACAGATTCAATGCAATTCCTATAAAAATCCCATTATTCTTTTTTTTTTAATAGAGGCATGTTTTATTTATTTATTTGTTTGTTTGTTTTGTTTATACATGCACTGGGTACAGTCAAAAGCGCGGGAGGGTGAGAGAATTCACCAGAGCCAGAGCAGGGAGCAGAGCAGGTAGAAGGACCGAAGTACACTGCTGAGGGGAGCAGCAGGCAGCAGGAGAAGTCTGCGCACCGTGCGGAACCCTCCTCTGGTGGCCGGGGAGCAGCCGGGGATCGAACCGGCGCTGCAGAGGCCGCGGGCAGCTTCGCTACCCAGCGCTCAACCGCTGCGCCACCAGGGAGGCCCCCATTATTCTTTTTTGCAGAAATAAAACAGTCCATTCTCAAAGCCAAGCACAAAAGACCAAATACTATATGACTCCATGTGTGTGATCCATGTATAACAGGCAAATTCATGGAAATGGAACATAGATTAGCGGTTACCAGGACTAAAGGAAGGGGCAAACACCATTATTACTTAATGGGTACAGAGTTTCTGTTTGGGGTTATGAAAAGATTTTGTAAATTGATAGTGATGTTGATAGATACACACACTGTAAATGGAAATATTGCCAGTGTTGTGTACTTTAAAAAAGCAAATTTTTGTTACATAAATTTTATTTTCAAAAACTAAAGTAAAATCACTGTTTTGCTGAATGATTGAATAATTATTATTTTCCTAAACTCCCAACACTTAAGACTCCATAATGCTATAAATATAAAATTGTGTCTATATAAACCACATGCATACACACGCACAAGTGTTCTCACATATCCAGACACAAACCGTGTGCCAAGCTATGAAGACAGATGCTAAAAAGCAAGATGCGTCTATTTCAGATTGGTTTGTTGTACTCATACTAGATGTGCTTCTTAAATATAAAACCTTTAGATATATCCTAAGTAGGGTCTGGATTATTCTTACTTAGTGCATAATTCTACATTTAACTGCTCAAACGAATGCTTGAAAATTGTTTGTCAGAGAACCTCAGTCAGTTATTATTTCTTAAAGTATGGGTTTTTTCTTTATGTTCATCCAAGAATAAGATTCCACAAGATTTTTATTAAGTTACGTCTATAAGCCAGGCCACTCCTTGCCAGGCCAGCCTTAGCAAATGGTAAGATCTTGAAATACTTCCATACTCCTTGACAAGTTGTTCCCTGATCCCCCTCAAGACCCCAACACCAATCTGGTTCCTCTCCTAAGACCAGCCTGAACACCTCCCCTGATACAAAGTTAATGCCATTGTTGGTGGGGGAGAGGGGTCTCCAGGGCTCAGGTCCAGTGCTTACCACTTGTTAAATATTCTTAATATCACCTCTGCTTGTAACTTCCAAATGTCTGAGCATAACAAATGCTTCAGATGAGTAATTTACTTTGTCAAAAATATTCCTTAATAAACACTTTATGAACCAGTTCTAATTATAATTATAAATACAATTCAGTCAGAAGAGACTAGGTTATGCTATATCACAATGACCCAATTTCTCAGTGGCTTACAGCTACAAACGTTTATTTCTCTCTCACACTACATGGCAAGGCAGCTGCAGCTCTGCTCCAGGTCATCTCCATCCCAAGCCCCGCACTGAGAGAATCAGCCTCTGTCTGGAACACTGTCACTCACAGAGCAAAGGGAAGAAACAGAACCACAAGCTGGACTTGAAAGTGTCTGCTTAGAAGGACACACATCACCCCACTCAGAAATTATTGACCAGAGCTAGACATGTGGGCAACAGTGACATAGAGGAGCAGTATAATCCTTCCTCTGGGAATAGATGGGGTAATTTTGAATAAAAATGGAACCTACCCATGGCAACAACACAATTATAATACACTCCCTCAATCCTGTGGAGTGTGGAGCTAAGTAGGTTCAGACGTTTAAGGAGACGGACGGTAACACGGTGTCATTCTTGGTTAGCGTGAAGGGCACTAACGTTCTGGAATGGTGTCTGAATGTGGGCTTTGTTTCTTCACTTGTGCTCAACAGCTACAACCCCTGGGCTGCAACATTCTTAATGTTCCCAGTGATGAACATGGAATGATTCCAGAGTCCCTCAAGGATATACTTTCCAAATGGAAACCCGAAGATTCTAAGGACCCCAAAAAAAACACCCCCAAATTACTTTATACTGTCCCAAATGGCAACAACCCTACTGGAAACTCATTACCAGGCAACCGCAAAAAGGATATCTATGAGGTATTTTTCAAGAATGTGGTATGTGGCTAAGTGCTCATTTCTTTTTCACTTTAAAGTGTACAATGCTAGTTCCCTTTCTTATCAGCCTCTTGCCTTCAAGGAAGATGATCTGTTATAAAGGGAAGTCATCTGTGCCAAGGGTCCTAATTGATTTAAACTCAAGAAATTACTACATCCTTTGTTAACTATGAGATTTTTTTCTTTAATAATTTTATAGAAAGAAATAGCACCTTTGACCTGACATTAAGTTGTATGAGACTATTTAATATTCTACCCCAAATTTTATTTTCATCATTTTATATTTGTGTTTTCAACTTGTCTCTTCACTTTCCTACTCCTTGTCATTTTGGTTTGCAAAGAAATTCTTTAAAAATAAGAGGCATCCTCCTTTTGTAAGGTTTCTTTAGGTACCTGGTTCTGACACCTAAGCTTTTCACTATAAACATTTTTTTAAGTATCAAACACATATTGAGCTATACAGAAGTCTATGAAAAAGAAGAGAAATGTGCCTTTTTATAAAGTCTCTTTCATGTGCCTGACAATGCTACCTAGCCTTCCACTACAAATAACTTTTTAAATAAGTACCAAACCCTTGTTAAATATTTAATTCAATCATGTGCAATGATATCATAAGATTTTCAAGCAGTTCCTTTTTACTTATCATATATACTTTTTTATTTCAAAATAATGTCTTAGTCTTATTTTTCCCCTATCCTGAACTCTGTCCTAAATTCCTCTTCTTATTTACACACCCCCATCCCTTGACAGCCTCATCTAGTTCTATGCCTATACCTGCTACTCTGAATGGAATGCCTTTCCCTGAACTACAGACTTTGTATCCAACCTCACTATCCAATTATTGTATCAAACATCCAACATAAATGTCTAGTGGGCATTTCAAAGTTGACATGGCCAAACAGAACTCCTGATTTTCTCCATTCACACCCCAAACCTCCAATCCAGGCCCTTCACATTCTCCAATTCCATAAACTGTGCCACCATCAACAAAGACCTTTTATTCCCCGTTCCCTCCTCCCTCCTCCACTTCCTTCCATCCTGTGAATTCTACCACCAGATTCATCCATGTCTCTCCACTGCCACTACTATCACAGTCTTTTCAGTCACCACCTTCTCTCTGGTCTTCCACAGTGGCGCCTGCGCATTAGGGCTGCCCAGTGAGTCAGCCTGAAACAGCTACCATGTCACTGTCTCGCTCTCAAATGTCACCCTGTTTAATGGTCTACTTAGTTCTCAACTCCTCCCCACCTAATATTCTATTTGTTATGCATTGCCTTATATTCTACCATGGGATAGAAGTTCCATGAGAGCAAGAGCCTTTAGTGCCTTTTCCACCTCTTTAGCTTCACTGTCTAGGACAATAGGTACTTAACAGCTTATTGAATGAATGAATGATGGATGAGTGCTAAGAATTATGACTCCAAATGATGCAATTTTAGACAGCTCTTAAGATATAAAATATACTACTTTAACCTTTTTTAGCTTGCAAGAAAATATGACTTCCTCATAATAGAAGATGATCCATATTATTTTCTCCAGTTCAACAAGGTAAGCGACAATGTCAATTAGAAGATCAAACTGTAAGTTATTTCCCTGCATTTGATTTTGGCCTGTTCTGTTGAGTCAGAGATAATCCAGACTTATATTGAAATAAAAAATTAACTTGCTCCCACTTCCACCTTTAATCTTTCAATTTTGTCCTGGAATTGTTACTTTCCATTTCTGGTATAAACAGTCTTTCCAGAAATTACTTACCTTCAGAGTGGTAGCTGGCTCTCTGTATCAGGCATTTGGACAAGCAGAGTGAGTCAGGGCTATGGTCTTGAACTCCAAAATCCTAGTTCCCGGCTCCTTCAACACTGTGAGATATGTGTAATGGGTTTTATCTTGAGGAGTCAACTTCAGCATTAGTATGACTGACTGGAATGATGTCTCAGAAGCTATGTTCAAGCTGAAGGAGAAAGAGTTGTGCTCAGTTAGTGAGGTACACTATGGACATAAGAGAAACATTACTTGTAAGCAAGCCATATATTTGCCATTTGTCATTTAGGTCCTGGATCTTTGCTGCAGAATAATGAATTTTAGATTCTTTCTCACTAAATCTCAAAGGCACATTTTAGGATCACTGTTTCCTAATAGACAATAATAATGATACAGATTACAATGCTTAATTCCAGGGCCTCCCTGGTGGCCTAAGTTTCAACACTACCACAGAGATGGCCCTCCAAGGTACCTGAGTTCAATCCCTGGCAAGGGAGATGCTACATGGTGCAGCAGACCTCTCCCAACTCGCCCGCTGCTCCCCTCAGCAGTGTATTTCAGTCAATCTGCCTGTTCTGTTCCCTGCTCTGTCTCTGGTGAATCCTCCTGATCACCCTCTGCACCTCTGGCCTGAACCCCAGTACTTGTACACAAAAATAAATAAAATATTTAATAAATAAAAATGCTTAATTCCTCAAACTCACACACTATGTGTATTTGTTCTCCAGCCTGCAGAGACTAAATACACGGGTCCAGTCTCCCATTTAAGTCTACAGAAAAGAAACAAAAACTCTTGACTCTTCTATCTAGTTTGCCTGAATATCACCTAGCTAGCTGCCTACCTGCCCTCCACCCTCAATGTGACCAAAGTCCCCTTTCTTTGTGCCTCCTTGTGAAGTATATGTTGAAGTCAGTATTTCAGATTGGCTATATTTCTCATCTTTCTTCTCACTTTTTTTTTTTGTCTTTGTAGTTGTTCTAAGAATCTATTCTCTCACCAAGCAAACCTCAACACAGCTGGCAATCTTTGTTTTGATCTTGTCTGAACCTATTTTCCTTGAGTTTTCTGAATCTGTTAATCTTGGATTTCAAATCTTGGGGCATGGAGCACCTATATGAGTTTTCCTAAATTCAAAATAATGGCATCTTATGCAAATGAGAAAAACTTTGTATGTGTTTTTGGCAGAAGAGCCATGTGAAGACAGGAGACACTAATAAATGCATATGCATCTCTGTTTCCTTTGGTGTTATAAAGGGTTGAGACAAAGACAAAGGTAATGGTTGCCTGATGAGAACTGAATCCACACCCTCTCCGTTCTCTATGTAAATCAGACAGTCAGTAGCTCTGTTTTCAAACCAACAGTTTTGTTTTGTTTTTTTTCCATTTCAAGCCCTGGGCACCAACATTTCTTTCCATGGACACTGATGGGCGTGTCATCAGGGCTGACTCTTTCTCAAAAGTCCTCTCCTCTGGGTAAGGCTCTGTCTCTAGATAGAGTTTAGCTCTAAATATTGCTCCTCAGTATCTTTTAGTTCAAATGATTGTTTTCATTTAAATGCTTGTATTCCACTTGTCTTAAAATACCAGTTTAATTATTACTATGAACGTTGATTTTTTTCTCTTTGTCTCCAGTAATCAAAGGCCATGTGTCCTTTTAATCTAAAGGTATAAAAGGACTGGCCAGCGTTTTGGTTTCACATATGAAAGAGCATATGTAGATATAGTGGTCAGATTGGCATTCTATTTTAACCATACATTTAAACTTCAATTTGTATTTTAAATAAAAAATGCTTTTAAGACAATGTTTCCATTGTCTAGGTTCATCTGTCCCCAGGTCACAACCCTCTCCCTGATGAAGTCAGTAAAATGATATATTCGTTGTTAATACAGGGTTGGTATGATGCCTTTTCTCTCTTTGTGTAGGCTGAGAATAGGATTTATAACTGGACCAAAACTCTTGATAGAGAGAATCGTTTTACACACACAAGTTTCAACAATGCACCCCAGCACTTTTGCACAGGTAAGGACAATTTACGAAATAGGGGTTTTTTTTTTTAAATCAGATCAGAAGAGAGAATAGATGTTGGCAAGTAAGACTGAGTTAAGGTAACAGGGTGGGAAATCACTGATATCGATTTTTCTAGTTCCAATATGGACTGAATTAGAAGACCATATACCACAGATGCTTACTCTAAAGGAAAATGAGGATTGAATTAACCTGGTATTATTTTGTGACATAGGCCACATGCTTCTTGAGAGTCGGGGTGTCTTATTCATCTTGGATCCTTAGCATCTTGCCGAGATGCAAGGATCTTTAAAAAAAAAGAAAAAAAAAAAAAACTTTGTTGAGCAGAGCAAAATGGAACTTGTCTTGGACCATGTAATAAGAACAATGATTTCAAACCTTAGTGACTCGTTATTTGCCTTCATTATGCATGTGTGCTAACTTCTCCTAAAGACACTTTTGGAATATATTTTCATTAAAGTAGAATTATTTTAGAGAATGTATCAATTTCCTCAAAAGCTTTGAGAAAGTACTGAATCCATCCCTAAGGTGACAGGAGAACCGAATCTCAGGGATAGATTATTACGTAAGAACTAAAAAAATGCCTTGTAAAGTTGGTTTGATAGTGCACATCCCACAAAGTGCAGATGTGGGGGGGTCTCAACAGGCTGAGTACTTCTTATATATTTTTTGTATCTGTTAGTAACAGAACTTCACTATCCATTTATAACATTTAGAACTTCTATTTTAGTGAGAAAAACTTCCCAAGATATTATGTAACTTAATACATCTTCTACATATTGTTTATGTGTCTAGAGGGATGATAGTATTGTAATTAATGACTTGGACTGGAGCTGAACAACTAGACTTGATTCCAAATTCTGTATCTGTCTGTTTAGCCTCAGTAAAATTAATTTAACCCTCACCTCAGCTTCCTCATCAGTGAAATAGATATAATAAGCTCCTTAATAAGATCATTACTTAGATTGAATTAGGTAAACTATATTAATAAATATATATTTTTATTGTCATTGTTTTAATAAACATTTATTCTAAATCACTGTATAAAACTAGGTCCCACTTGCTCTATCTTATGGTCATTTACACATCATTGAGAATAATTTGCTTTCATGTTTGACAAAAAACGTATCTCATCGTGAACCATAACATTTGTTATTGTTTTATCTCTTTAGCTTCTTGTATCACAACTTCTACACCAATGGGGGGAAGAGGGCTTCCTGGCTCATGTACAGAGGTATTTAATTCATTTGTTAAAAAGTAAACAAGATAGGAGCTCAGTGAGCATAATATAGAGCATTGGCTCAAATACAAATGAGAAAATATTTACCTAAGTAATCAGAATATTGGTGTACCTTATGAATTACTTTACTTATGTAAACAGGGTACTTCTGAGGCCATAAAGAAATAAAGAAAAAACAGATTGTCTTTACCCCCAGCGATTCATCATTTCAATAGTATCTTCTTTGATCCTTAGAGTTCTCCCACCCCATAAATGACAACCAAAGACAGCGATTAAGGCTACTACTTATGTTGATATTGAAATTTAGGTTCAATATGTTACACAGAAATGGACTTTGCTGTATTAATTTTCATTTTCAAAGTATTCCAAAACAAAGGAAAAAGCACATTGATTAAATGTTTACCATCAGATAGATCAAATAAATATGTTCTATTCCCTTAGCAAGCATTCAACATTTTAATCAAGAAACAAAACAAATTCTTATAGACTGGACTTCAGAGTGTTTTCATTTCTGCAGTTAATGTACTAAACACATCCATTTCATTTATTTCTTCTTCTAGGGTTATTGACTTCTACAGTTCCCAGAAGGATGCATTATTGGCAGCTGCAGACAAGTGGTTAAGCGGTGAGGGTTAAGTAAATTCTATTTGCAATACACAGTAACAACTATATAAGTGGACAGTAAACACTGTGTAGTTTTGTTAATAACCTTGCGGGTAAGAAATGAGTCCAGGAGTATTCTTGTCAAGGTATTCTTGTTACCTACAAATAATCTCAGAAGTAACAGGCTGCACAATTAGTCTAAAATCAATCTCCAATAATTTATTTAAAACTTTAGCTATTTCAAAATTTTACCCAAAATATAAGAGGAATTGTCAAACAAACAATATATTCCTTTTCTATCTAGATTATATCATAATAAAAAGTACAATGTAATGAATCTAAGGTAGATCTCTCATTACAAATTATTTACTTCCTAGTCATTAATTTCATTTATCTAATATGAACAATTGTTTATTTGATTACAGGATAGTTTAGATTTAATATTCTATTAAGGAAGAAAGTCAAATAAATCATGTGACTTTAATTATATCATTTAAAATGCTTCCATTATGAAAGATAGTAAACCAAAACTATGAAGTCCATATTTCTGTTATATCTTGTGCCTTATGAAGTCTTTGTAAAAGCAATTATCTTATTGATAAGAGTATTCACCTACCACACTTATAGTGAACTTGAAGAAAAGGTTTTAATCAATGGCAATTATTTTAAACAGATAATAGAGTAAATCAAAATAATTTTCCTGCCTTCTTGATTTCTCTATCCTATTAGTCAATGAAACATAAAGCCTACAAATATACCTGGAAAACTTGAATTATAAAGTAACTCTTCATAAATGAATACATTCTGATAAAAACTCTAATCCCATTAGATTTCTAAGCTGTTATATAAATGATAGGATACATTGCAACGCTGGAAGAATCTAGAAAGAGTTAAAGAAACCTTCTAAGGTTGAAAGAGCCATGTTTGCCATGGGTAGATCCACCTAAAAGAGGTAGACATAGATACTAGATTTCTTACACTACTCCACAACTGACTAAAATTGTAAATACATACATATCCACTCCCTCCCTTTCACCCCTCACCTTTTAAAATAAAACTCAGAACATCAAATTTCAGGACTCACAAAATCATATTTTTAAAAAATGCTATCACTGAAGGACCTTTTTTGAAAATACTGGTTTACAATTACTGCAACCATATCACTAAGCAATATATCTATCAAAATGGCTTTAAAAGATATTTGTTCTCTTGTTCGTAGGTTTGGCAGAATGGCATGTTCCTACTGCTGGAATGTTTTTATGGGTTAAAATTAAGGGCATCTCTGATACAAAACAACTGATTGAAGAAAAAGCCATAAAAAGAGAGGTAAAAGGGGAGGGGGGAGTTTTAGTTTTTCTTTAATTTTTAGTTGAATAAAAATGGCATTTTTAGACATTTATTATTGCTCACCACCCAACTCATGATATTTTAATATCAAAATATAATCTCATTATTAAAATCATAATAGAATTTGTATTCTTCTGGTCTAAATAGAAAATACAGTCACTCATCTGAGCTGCTGGTTAGTTTAGTGGTTAAGAGAAATGTCAGGAACTATACTTCTTGGGTTAAATCCTTTTCCACCCTTTTCTGGGTGTGTGACTTTGGGTAAGTAACCTTCCCTTTGTATGCAAAACAGAGATAATAAGAATCCTCCTTCCTTCTCCCACAGAGGGTTACTATACTCATTAATTGAGCTAATCTCTATGAAGCACTTCAACTAACCCCTGATACATAGTTGTAAATATTTGATAAGTACTAGCCATTAGTATTTAAAATAGAAGGATTTTTTTCCTGATTATGAAACATACTCACAGTAGCAAACTTGGAAAATGCACATTAGTGTAATGAAAATAGAAAGTATAATGAAAAATTATTAAATAGAGCATAACTTTACCACCTGATTTTGTGAACATCTGTGGTGTGTTTTCTTGAAGAGCTTTTATCTATGTAGTGTTTAGGCTGTGTAATTATTTTACATGGTTAAAATAAAACAGAAAAGTTCATATCCTGCTTTTTTATTGTTTAAAAATAGCCCAAGAAGATTTCTTCTAGGTTATTTTTCTCCTTTTGTTCTTAAATCATAAGTCTACTTAAATTTCATTTGAGGATTGAAAACTCAAGAAATTCAAATATTTTTCTGTGTAGTTTCTAACTTACAAATAAATTATCCTTCCTCTATTCATTAATTCCTTTATCATTTTTGTCTGTATTTTCTAAACACTAGATCTGTTTCTAGGATCACTTTAGTCTTAAAGCAGTAAGCACAAAAGAACAGATTGTGCTGGTGTTGGCAAAGTACCATGCTAGTGCATTTGAGACCAGGTAGTCTAGAGGATAGACATGGAAACTGACTCAGTAGCCCTGAGGGCAGCTCTGCCATCTTGGGAAGTCCACTCATTCTCTCCAATCATCTTACTTGAAGGCAGAATATATGCTTTATGGATTATCCTAACCCCAGTAATGGCCATAGCAGCTACTTAATAAATACTAAGCTGATTTATTTCAAAGAAATATATTTTAGTATAATAAAACAATTTAGTATTTTCTTTGCTTTTATACCTATGCCCTTATCATTCAAAGCATTTGCTAAGTGCCTAGTTGTCTTTCTGAGACAGAGGCTAATGATACAGACTTCATATTTTGTTGTAGTTTTTTCAGTCCTCTTCATTTATTCCATTTATCCAGCAAGAATCTTTACTTTTCCTCAATAATCTCCATATTATATCCAGATTTTGGCCATCTTGTCAAAGAGATTATTGTCACTCCTTCATCCCTTGCAGCAATTCGATTCTAGCACATCCCAAAATTTTTCCACTATGTAAAAATACATTACTTTCATCTTATTGTTAAGCAGGACACAGAAAACATCTGCCTTGAAATCTTCCCACAGTGCCCCATTTTACTCCCAACTCATCTTATTTTAGCAAACAGTGCCCAGATTTATACCATATAACTAGCAGTTAATGAATGCTTTTTAAAAATCATGGTCATACTAGTTCACTATCTCAAAAATTTAATCAAAGTTTATTTCGGACTCACATAAAATTTTCAGAGATGTGTTTCGCAGGCAACACTGTTCCAACCAGGGGTTCAGAGATCTTGGTTCCTTCACCTATCGCTCTTCAGGCTTCAACAGGTGGATTTCCCAGTGGCTACAAAATGGAAAAGACAAGGGGGATCACATATGGGAAGTTTCATGTATCACTTTACATCTGTTGACTGGGATTCAGCCACATGGCCACACAAAGCTAGAAGAGGGTGGCAAATAGAGTATATTGATATGCCCAATAAATAGAAGAAAAGGGTTTCACGCCAGTGTTCTGTCTGCCACCGTGGTCATCAAGAATAAGAGTTGCTCCCAACTCCTTGATACAAACACTTCACTTTGTGTATTAACTTTTTACTTCCTTTCCGTTCTTTGAGGGGACCCCAGTTTTTTCACTGGGGCATTTGCATTCTGAATCTCCTCCCTAAAATACTCATCCCTTTTTGCTATCTGACACATTCTTACCTTTGAGTTTCCAAATGTGATAACTTAAGAATGGTTATCTCATTGTTTCAACTTACATGAATTTTTTAATTTGGTGAAACATGTACACATGTTTACTACCATTTCTATTTTTTTCATTTCTATTTGTTTTATAAGCTGTCCTTTGGCGATTAAAGAAACAATTTTGGTGTTTGGTTTTTTTTCTCAGTTACTGTGGAGTTTTTGTATATGGAGAAGAGGTAATATTTGGCATGTTCGTTGTAAACATTATTCCAGTCTCTATGCTTTCATTTGTGTTTGTTGTATGACATATAGAATTTTCATACAAATTGTTTCTCTTGCAATTTCTTTAATTGCTTTCAAAGTTAGAAAGACCTTCCCCACTCTTAGTTTTCCCTGTATTTTCTTTCACTATTTCCTTAATAGTAATTCACTTTTTTTATAAATTATCTTAGATATTAATGGTTCCTGGAAATTCTTTCTTCATTGATAGTTCAGCTCCCAGCCCTTACTTTAGAGCATCCTTCTCCTTTGCAACTCCAGAACAGATGGATGTGGTAAGTACAATATTCTCCTCAGAGTAACACTAGGTATCAATTCCGGTTTTGGGCACATGTGTTTGTTTGTGAGTTACAACATTAATGTGTTAAGTTTCTTAAAAAACAGGTATTAATTGAAAAAAATCACAAATTACCATTAAAAGACACATTTTAGGGCCTCCCCTGGTGGCACAGTGGTTGAGCACTGGGCTGCGAGGCTGCCCATCAGCCTCTGCAGCACCAGTTCATTCCCCGGCTGCCAGCGAGGGTCCCACAAAAAAAAAAAAAAAAAAAGACACATTTTAATGGTTGCAAAAAAGACAAGTGCATGAACCAAGTTAGAATTAAATTTTATTGTCTTCATGGTTTTCAGACCTACTACTCAATGTTGGTAGGCTATCAACATGTTATGAGGAAACTCTCTTACCTTCCTTCAAGGAATTAACGAAACGAAAACTACAAATTCGTAACAGCCACTAGTGCCTTTCTTTGTAGAAAAAAATATGATGAACAGGAATCAAATTAAGTATTTTTCTTAAATAATCAAAAAATGTTTGTTTAACCAAAATAGCAAGAAGCAAGAAATAGGTAGCTAAGGACTGTGTGTCTGGGAATCCAGACAGAAGAGCCATAAATTGAACAGGGTCATTAACCTTGGGAAGAATTTATACTCTTCCTTGGGGATGGACTGGTTCTTGGTGTATTCTTACTTCCTTGCTTTCTTGTGTCATTTGTATCCTTTTCATTTGCTATCTTGACTTTCATGTATAAATAGAGTTAGACAATTGAATCTGTAGAATGCATGTGCAGTTGTAAAACACAATAATGACAATAATGTGTATTAGAGTGAAATAGAGAAATGACTGCTGGAGGATTATAAGAACAAAGGCAATCCTAGAAATCTGATATGCTTTGTGTACATATATGAGTGGCATTGATAGTATCCTACCCTTAAGCCTGACTTTTCGTTACCTTTTCTCAACCTAAGATGGATAGTCTCTGAATTTTTTAAACTGATAGACTTTTCCTAAGTAGTAGCCTAATTATTAATTTTTATCTTTTTTATTTTAGGCCTTCCAGAGATTAGCCCAACTTATAAAAGAATCTTTATGAAGAAATCCAAGTCATCAGAGTATTCATGGATTTTTTCAGATAAATTATTCACTATGTTTTAGCAGGAAGACATCATCATTGCTGTAGACATATAGTTGAATTTCATCAAATTTTCTGTAGTAATTTAACTAGGAAAATTATAAATATTTTCAAAATTAACTTATACCATTTGATACTCAACCTGCTTTTATCCCGGACTTCATAATAAAGAACTCTGTAGTTGCTTTATAATTTCCCATATGTTTTCCTTGAAGCTAACATTTTACAATTAATTATTAAGCAAATAAATTCAACATGGTACATAATATGAACTTTTTCCACTTTTAGAAAAATTTAATGAAATCTTGTTGCAAAAATTGTTAGCATTTGACCATTATGAATGATTTTCAGGAACAGTATCCCAGATATTAAGTCACAACACAAAAATCCCTTTTAAAAAATTCTGAAACTAAACATGGGTAAAGGTATCAGGCCTACTAAAGGTAAGGAAGGAGCAGGGATCAAGGACTTAGTAAATTTGCTATATTGTATTTTCATACTACTACACAATTTACAAAATGATATTCTCTGCATTTATGCAATCAAATCTACTCTACCTCTTGAGGGCACAGCAGGTACTCAAATAACACTTCATTCAATGACATTTCACTACACTGTTGATGAGAAATTGGAGCCCCTGTGTTATGTGGAGTTTAATGTTCTCTCCCTATCTGTGTGGATTTTCTTCCCAGACTCCAGTTTCTTCCCATATCCCAAAGATGTGCATGTGAGGCTGCTCACTGTCGTATACCAATTGTCCCAGTGTGAGGGACTGGATGTGGGTGTGAGTGCATCCTGTGAAGGGAGGGTGACCTGTCAAGGGTTGACCCCCAGAGTTAGAACAAGTGGGTTGGAAAATGAACAAATGAATACAAATGATTGTTGACCATCAACAGTGTTCTGGAGCTTTGGTGATACTTTTGTGACCAAAAGTATGCTGAGATACACTGCTAAGGGGAGCAGTGGGTGAAACAGGAGAGGTCTGCTGCACCATATGTGGGTCAGCTCCCTGGCCAGGGATCGAACTCAGGCCATGGCTGTGATAGCACTGAGACTAACCCCTAGACCACCAGGGAGGCCCTTACTGTATTTAAAATGTAAATTTTTAATAATTTTCTTTATTACCTTTTAATATCTTTATTTTCCCATATGATTAGTAATGTAACATATGTTAAAATTTTCAAACAATCCCGAAAGTATAAGGAATAAAATAAATGCCTCAATAGCTCACCCCCCAAGTGATAACTACCATGCACATTTATCATTCTTTCTTTTAGATGGTTTTCTACATATACACATGTAATATGTAAATGTATCGGATCTCATTATAACTGTATCATAAACATCCCTCATGGATTTTGTATTGCTGGGTAAAAATTACCACAGTGTTCCAAAAGCCCTAATTGTGAAGTTATAAGTTTCCTTAAGGAATGAGGAAGCTTATGTCATTGTCATTTATAGTTCTTATTTTCCTGGTCTTGATAAGATGTTACTCTGTCCAGCAGCTAAAGTTCCTAAGCAAAAGTCTCACCTCAAAGCTTAAATCAGCTCCAAACCAAAATCCCTATTGTTTAAATTAGTAGTAGTTATTTCAGAGAATTTAGAGCTGCAGGGCCTTAAAAGAGGATTGAGACAAGGAACCAAACATCCCACTAAGTGAGAAGAAACAGGAAAGTGTACTTCAGAGAAATTTATGAAAGTGTAAGTAAAGTAAAATAAGTCTCCCACTTTTTCAATAGCTTTCAATAATAAACCAGAATTGCCAGACCAGCACTATCTAAATGAGTGCCTCGTTTTTTTGTGTTTGTTTTTAAATCCCCAGTGTTCAGCAGTTGGATTATAAGTTGATTTAGAGTACCCAGCTTTCAAGCAGGGGGTTACCCCAACCCAATCTATAGGAAGATGTTTGTTCAAAGGAAAACAAAGACTGAGAAAGGTAGACAGAGGGACAGAACACATTTTGGATAAGTAGGATGCCCTTGAAACTCAATATTCACTTTTGTCCAGTAAAATTATTTTTCCTCAGATGTTGAAGGAAAACCTCATAATAATTTATTAGAAAACCCGAGTCCTACTTGTTACCACTGTGAGTTTTTCCAACTTTGGGCAAGCTGTTTGGCAGTGTGTATCAGGAGCGGTACTGTCTTTATACCTTCTAAACACAAAGCATAAATCCTGAGGATTAGCAGAAATTCTAACTTCCCCTTAGTGGCGGTAGAAGTAAAATGCAACATTTCCAGATGCCCTCCAGCTCCATTTTCAGGAGCTGGATGTTGTCATGCAAATGTTGTCATGCAAATGCCTAGATTCAGAACCAGGTTCACAGGAGAGCAAGGTGAGGTGCCAGGTGCCCATCCACTGCCAGCACAGCTAAGGCAGCACGACTTTTTCACCAGAAGGGTTTTTGATTTGATGGTTTATGGCAGAAGCAGTGAAATATGGGGCTAGAAATGGTTCCTGGAAGTCCCGCCTGCTTTTTCTTCCATCCCCACAATTTTGGAAACCACAAAAGAGTTGATAGTAAACACTTTTTGCTAAAAATCAGTAAAGTTTCCATTTTAGAGTAGTTTCCATTATCTGCAACCGAAGCTAACCAGGCCAGGGGTGTCAGGTCTCCAAGACCACACTCAGGATACATGGGTCTCTCGCAGGACTTAAGGGAGCCCAGAAGTTGTATTCACAGAAGTAATTTATTACAGCAAAGGAAGACAGTATCTCAAGGGAGAAATGTGCGTGGGGCAAAATCTGGAGGATATCAGGCACAAACTTCCACTAAAATATCAATATGAAACAGTATCATTCATTTCATGAAGCATTATGGCAAAAGGACTAGAATCCGAAGTGAAAAGTCAGGGTGTAAAAATGTACACATACTCTTCTAGTATGTGTAGTATTAACTACAACTATGTCATGACTAAGATATCTACTAAAAAGGCAATAATTGGACAATTTTTTCTTCATTTTCAAAATATTCTGTAATGTGATTCATCATTAGAAAAATACATTTATTTTTAATACTATTAGCAAACTAGAAACACTTTTCAGCTGGACAAGCAGAGGTTCCTAGAGGCAATGGTAATGTGTGTATATATACACATGTATAATGACTCTAGTATATAATTACATATCTATATATGTGATTTCCCATTACATGGCAGTTGTCCCCCTGCCATGGGAAATCAAATGGAAACTTATATTCAGCCACATCCAAACACTGATAATCAATTTGACCTGATCAAATACTGCACAGGTTCAATTTCCTATGGTTTGTCTGTGTATCTTCAGTGGCAGCAAGGTCACCACTCATGTGTGATGACGCATCTGGAGCATTTGTCCTGTTGGGACTCCATATGGATATTTCAACTTGTCCTAGAATGGAATAGTTCTCACTTGGCATGGTCTTCTTTTGATTTAAATGTGAAAAATTGCACTTGGGGAATTTCCTGCCCTCCTTAGAAGAGTCTTTCATGCTTTCCCTATAAAGCTCCTTTGGTATGGTACCTCTTCACATTGCTTTTCAAATGCTAATTAAATCTTCAGTGGGTAGCAATTTTTTTAAATCAAAAATGGGTTTAATTAAAATTTTTGGAGAATCTAAACATCTTAATGAAAATCAAATATCTACCAAATATCTAATTTTAACAGGTGATACATGTTTGTTAAGATTTTTTTTGCTTTACTTTTTTTTAATCTATTTATTTATTTTTTTCTTACAATGTTTGCTTTCTTTTCTCAGGTGTAGTCCCCATAGAATTCCCACCACCAATTCACCTGTGCACCATCACCCTAGTCCCTTGTGTTCTTCCCTCCCCTGTTGTGATCCCTCTCCCTCCCCCTCCCCTGCAGAATGTCTCTGATTTATAGTTGCCTGTTTATTTTGTTTTGTTTTGTTTTGTTTTGTTTTGTTTTGTTGTGGGGTTTTTTGTTATCATTATTTTTTTCCTTGATCCCCTATATTCCCACTGTACATGAAACCATCCGGTATTTTTCTTTTTTCCTTCTGACTTATTTCACTGAGCATTATATCTGCTAAGATTTTAAGTTCCCAAAGCCAAGAGCCCTAACTCCTTTCCTGGAACCCAGCTGTAACTATAAAAGAATGCCATTTTTCAAAAGCCATGCATTGATTAGCATACCCTTACAGTTACCCTACTTTTATGTTTCAGGATTTCAAGTTTCATTTATCCATTTTACTCATTCAGTAAGCAAATATTTATTGAGTGCTCACTACCTTCAGCTCTCAACATATAGCTCTCAACAACAAAAATTCTTAGCCTCATGAAGCTTTCACATGAGATAAAGGATAAAGGAAGACAGCCAATAAAGAAATATATTAACTAAGCTATTTACTTAGTGATAATGAGACACAGGGCAAGCTAGGGTTATTAGGCAGTTTTAGGGACAGTGCAGGAGGGGACCTCTGAAGAATTTAGGGAGGCTTCAGAGATAAGGACAACCAAGGGAATGTAACCAATTCCACTGGGAAAAACAAACATCCCAGGACCATTGTTAACAATAGGGGGAAAACAAACATCCTAGGATCCTAGGACCACGGACAATATTGTTAAGGATGGTCCTGGTTTTCTTCAGGTGATAAGATAAAGTGTAGAGATGCTCACCTGGAGGACTAGACCATAAAGATAAAGTGATAAGCAAAACAAATGGGGAAAGAAAAAAGCTGTCAGATAAGGAATGTGAAATTCCCCCACTTAGTACCCTCTGGGAGTTAGCCAATCAGGAAGAGAGACTGAAATTTTAACATAATGAGAGAGAGAAAGTATATATTCCTAAACTAATATCCCGTACCGGCTCATCTCGGCCCCTCCCAGGTACCTTATACCTGGGAGTCCTTCTTCTTTGTCTCTTTTCTTCCTAAATAAACTCTTCTTTCAAAGACAAGATTTGTCTCTCTCTGCTTACTTACTCCAAAAAGTCTGTGAATTCCTTTCCACGGTTTCGCGAGACAAGAACTCGTGGTAAAGCGGCAGCAGTTGTTACACACGCCGGCATCAATATGAGCTACAAAGAAAATAATACAGCATAGGAGAAGAAATGATAGAGAAGGGGTGCTATTTTCCATAGAGGGCTCTGAGAAACCCCCTAGCTGGTGACATGTGAGCAGAGAGCAGAATTCAGCGGTGAGGGACGCAGCCCCTGACAAGGAGCACACCTGGCCTGTGTGAAGAACTGTAGAGTGGTGAGAGAGTAAACAAAGGTGCATTAGATTGCTCAGGTGCCATGACAAAGCACCTCAGCCTGTGTGACTTAAGCAACCGGAATGTATTTTCTCACAGCTCTGGAGGCTGGAAGCAGAGACCCAGGTGTCAGAGCCGGTTTCTCCTGGGGCGTCTCTCCTTGTTTGGGAGATGGTTACCTTCTCCCGTGTCTTTACATGGATTTCCTCTGATATTGCTGAGTCCTGATTTCTTTGCCTTGTAAGAACACAGTCACTCCAAGCGAGTTGGATAAAGTTCTGCCCTAATGACTTCATTTTACTTCACTCCCTCCTTAAAGACCGTGTCTCCGAATGCAGCCACACTCTGAGGATCTGGGGGAGAGGACCTCAACATATGAATGTGGGGGAGAGAGAATTCAGTCTATATACAACTAAAGGAAAGTGGTAAAGGCCAAAAAAGTCAGAGAGGTGGGGTGAGGGGAAGGTCTCACAGGCCACGTGAGACTGATTTATTCTGATTGAAACCGGAAGGTATTTGAAGGGTTTTAAGCAGAAGAGCAGCAAGAATTGACTTGGTTACTCTGACACTGATGGAACCTTAGAGTAGAAAAATTTGGGTGGACGATCTCATAAGGACAGAGGTGAGGGTAGGGATGATTAATGAATCTTAAACTAAACTGGGCTATGGAAGTTTCCAGGAATCGGAGGTGAGGTCGGAAAAGATTATCAGCCAGAGGTGGGGGCAGAGAGGATTATCAATCATGGAAGACCAACCCAATCTAACCCCAAGGCGATAATTTCCACAATAATTGCATCCAAAACTATTATCAAAGAATAACCCTTGCTTGGGCAAAATACCGTTCTTGACTTTTAAGTGCCCACCTATGCAGGTGTCTCTTTTTCCTTTTTCTCTTCTCCTTAATAAACTTGCCATGTGCTGATGAATGGGAAGTTCTGCTGAGCCCTTTCTCAGAGGGACCCAAGAATCCCACGTACAAAACTCCATCATCTGAACCCCAACAACACCAGCATGGAAAAGGAATCAGAATAGAATAAAGGCAGATTCCGGGAGACCACTTGGAAGTCTGGAGACAGGACCTTCTATTTTGATGGGAGTGATCAGGAAAGCATGAAAAAAGTGAGGGATAATTTGTGCAGGTATTTAAGGAAAGAAAACAAAACCACTTTTAAATGAAAACTGCCTATAAGAACACTACTTACTAAATCCAAGGTGAAAAAAGCATTCCATGACTCCTATTCTCTAATTCGCATATGTAACTCTTGTCTTTTTTTAGCTTGACCTGGTGTCCTGGTATCATTACTCAATTTAAGAAGCAAGCCACCATTCGTTGCTTAGCAGGCAGTTTTGGAAGGTTTAAATGGATAAAGGAAGTAAATGGCACTGCCCTGGAAAACTTGGGCCATTAAGCCGTCCACGATCTTTTAATCTGATGACCCATTATGCAAATTCAGATCATCAGTGGGGACCCACCTGAGACTAGCAATCCTTACCAAATCCGTGAATATAAATAGAACCTCGGGACCCTCCCTGAATGCAGCAGTCCTCTCTGCCTTGCCTGCTGCTTCCCTTAGCAGTATATTTCAGTAAACCCACCTCTTCTGTTCTCCACTGTCTCTGGCGAATTCTTTCACCCCTGCACCTCCAGCCTGCACCCAACTCTGTCCCACAACACTTGGCTAATCTGCTTTTCTCTCCTATTCCTACTTTCAGATTTTTTTTTTACTCCCATTTATTTCATGTACAATTTATAAATTGTGTCATGTCTTTTTATCTGGAACTTATAACTGAAATTGAAAACGTAAGAGCTAACAGAAAATCTGGTCATAATTGCAGTAACACGTATTTAAATCGCTAGATTGCCTGGACACTTCAATAAAGTGTTCACTGGAGTCACTGAAATAGCAATCAAAATTAGAAGCTAATTACTTCTAATGGAGTTCTTAATGATTTTACATTTAAAGGAGAAACTAAGTAAAGAAAAAATAAACACACTTCGCGCTACATTTCAGAAATATTGGAACTGGATTTGAAGTTCAGATCTTTTGATGCTTTCCATGCTCATGGCACTGACGCCATCTGGCAGCCTCAGCCCAAAGAGATTTCCTACAGGGTTTTCTTTTCCAAGGTTCCTTGAACCCCATCTGAACCATCTGGGGAGGCAGCAGTGAAATAGCAGGGCGTCTGGAATTCCCTAGATGCCTAACCACCACCCTTCCAAAAACACAATACACAGCAAAAATAATCTGTGAAAGAAAGAAGAAAAGAAGGTAAGGATGAAGACTGGACCGGCACACATATAGACTTGGCAAATTTAGTTCCAAGAATTTACCTTCAAGAAATACTCTAAGTGTTAGACAAGACCGAGGGCCTGATGTTTGACAGTGCAGAGTTTGGTTAGACATCTGAAAAAATTTAGGACATTATGTATAACATGCTTTTACAACACACGCAAGAATGTTAACAACTTCATTAAGACAAGATGCTTTAAGTAAAGTGTTTTTTAAGTTGATTAAAAAAAGAAAGAAATATTCTTAAATGTTAGAGAGTAATCTCCATAAATGGGGGAGTGTCGTGCCAGGAAGGGCACAGAGCTGGTTCTATGATTCCAGAAGAGCAGGTAAAGGAGAGTCCTGGAGCTCTCGATGGCTTTCTCAGGCTTTTGTTGAGCTTCTGGATGTAGTGCAGCAACCAGGTACATGGCAGAGGGGTGCCCTTGGGGAGAAGTGGGGGTGGTGATGGGGGGAAGAGGGGGTTTGGGGAGAGGGGGTTTGGGGGGAGGGGGGGCAGGAGGCGGATAGGCCTCCAAGCCCCCAAGCCCCAGCAAGTCTTCACTCTGGGCGTCTTTCTCCCCTTCTCTCTCCTGCCTCTCTCTCTTGCCTCTGCCTCTCTTGGCTAATAGCCCAATACTGCATTCATGGCCCACAGAAGCAAACAACACAACTTATAACAATGTAATAAATGATGCCCTATCAGGCAGGACAAGCCCAATGGCAGAGGGCAGAAAAGCCTAAAAATCATTTACCCTACAGGGAGGTTCTGTGCTCCCTGGCCCACCTTAGGAGGGGCAGAGCTGAGGGGCCAGCTGGAGATTTAGAGCACTTGGAGGACAGACCCTTGCAGAGACACTTGGAAGAAAAACAGAGCAGAGGGGCAAACACACCAGAGGGACACACAGAGCAGGGACATGCAGGAGGGCACACTTGCTCTCCTCAGCCTTGGACATGCTCCAGGGAATACGGGGATATGGAAGAAGTACATGGGTGAGAGACTTGTGGGGAGCCTGACAATGGCAGCCTTTACTGATTTGCATTTTGATTTTCCTCCTTTCTTTCCAGACTTGCCTGGCCCCTCCGTCCCTTTCCTATGGTTCCCACCGAAGGTACCTTAGACTGTGGCAAGCTTTTGGGCTCAGTGACCCCTCTTTGGGCTGACCCTGTTTACCCATGAGAAGATGAGTAACTTTTGATGGGACGAGTAGTTTTCACGGGGAAAATATAATGTTTCTCTTTTTCTCTCTATGCACACTCATATATTAAAATTCTTACACACTAAGAGCATGCTTTGTCTTTATGCAGTGGATAGCAGAACCCCTTTAAGATGTGCAAGTTTGGGGGTCCCAGCATCTACACACTGACGTAAAGACCTTCATCACAGCAGATATTATGGGTCAATTAGGCGAGAGTTGAGAATTACCCCTTGGATTATGCCAAGTAGAGGTCATGGGTGGCCTGGACAAGAGCAGTTTTGTGGAATAGAGGTAGCTTGTGAAGCTTATTGGAGTGGATTTAAGAGAGAGTAGGAGGAAAAGAATTGCTCACAGCTATATTCATTGTAAAAAGTCTGCTGATGTACATGAAACTACCACTATGCAGTATCTTTGGGGGCATGAGATTATAGGGGAGGTTTTATCCCCTATATCTTAGCATTGATTAAAAATGAACACGTGGGCCTCCCCTGGTGGCGCAGCGGTTGAGTGCTGGGTTGCGAAGCTGCCAGCAGCCTCTGCAGCACCGGTTCGATCCCCGGCTGCTCCCCGGCCACCAGAGGAGGGTCCCGCATGGCGCACAGACCTCTCCTGCCGCCCGCTGCTCCCCTCAGCAGTGTACTTCGGTCCTTCTGCCTGCTCTGCTCCCCGCTCTGGCTCTGGTGAATTCTCTCACCCTCCCGCGCTTCTGACTGTACCCAGTGCTTTTGTAAATAAATAAATCTTTTTTTAAAAAAATGAACACATGTACTCTTTCTATAATAAATAAAAATTAAATTATTATAAATAAATAATAAATAAAAATTAAATTATTATTATAAATGTTTCAGCCACCAAGCTGAACACTGTCTTGCCCTGAGACTGATTCTGAGTTCCCAATGACTAGAACATTCTCAGGTATCAGTCTCAGTTCCCAGGCATGGCTCCTCCTTATTCCCAGGGATACCAGATGCACATCCATCTGCTGCACCCAAACCTCAATTTCTGAGTATTTTGAAATTGAATGGTACCCTAACGACTTGAAAATTCTTTTCAATAATTAAATGTTTATGGAACACTTTTCATATAGCAAGAAGTTGCTAAACACTGCATTTAAAAAGATGCTTGACAAATGCTTCATTTACTCTACTTACACCATATATTCAGGCCCATCCAGCACATAAACTGTCAGCCGTACTGAACACAGAAGGCAACCATGAGGCATTTCAGGCACCTGCAGCTTGTAAGACCTGAAAAGGAGAAGAAATGGTGGCATAAATGTGACGTGCTTTCACAGAAAAGGTCTTTGGTGTCAACAGGACAGTTTTGTGAACTGCTTCTGGACAAGGGCCTGTGTTCCCAGGCCTCTCCCAGGAGCTGCACATGGTTAGTGCTTAATGAACAGTTATTGAACTAATTACCTCACTCACTCTTCTTTACTGACATAGTCATGATGATCCCCTCTTTCCAAGAAATACAAAGTTAAGCTTAATGAGTACAGATTAATTAGCAGACAAGTAAAGCGGAAGGAGTTCCTTCCTCAGAGGACTCATGGGGCCATTTCTATCCAATCTTCAGAAGATTCTGTCATGTTAATGGTGATGTGCTAAATTTCTAGTCCCTATGATGGCAACGTGTCTACCAATAAAGGGCTCTTAGAAAACGAGGATTAAGGAATAAAGTTAGCAATATAGATGAGGAAGAAATTCATCTTGTCAGATCTTGGTGAACCTTCTCACTAGACAGATGATAGATAGGCATAGTGGAATCTTATGAAGTCAATGAATAACAATTATAAAACTAATGCTTTCCACCTGTCACCTAAGTTAATTTTCAAAACAACTGGAAGCAGGATTATCTGGTCCAGTTTACAAATGAGGAAACAAATTTTGGGGGTGACTAGATGAAAGATGATGCTAGGGCTGAGCTCAGAGCCAGGTTGAAGAGTGGGAGGCAGTAAAGGGGACAGTAGCAACCCCCACGTATTTGAAATTGTGGTCAGAAAGAGAAAAGCAAAGGAGAGCATTTCTGCAGGAGATTTAGCAGCACTGTAGGACCTCTCACCTACAGATAGATTCTTGGCTCACAATCATTCAAGAAGTCTAAATTGAACTCAGGCTCTATATTAAAGACTAAGAAATACACAGTCATAAAGTTATAATTGACAGTCATCAAGAGGGAAGAATAAATATGAAAAATTTGTGGGAATCACAACTCTTAGAATGTTCACACTTTGGCAATTTATGGCAACCTAAGAAATCCAAAAAGCCTTTGCAGGAGTGCTTCAAATTGGACTCCATTCCTGTGCTATAAAGAGAAATAAATGCAAAATTCACTTGAAATATAAACTGAAGTAACAAACTTTGACCAGCAGATGTCAGGCTTATCTCATGATTATTTCTTTAACATTCTAGAAAGGATTACAGTAAAATTTTAATTCTTAGGGATATCATTACAAATATGCAAATATTTGTATATTGGACAATATAATACAACTATGTTGTCCTTTTCCTTTTTACATCTCACATGTAGGAGAAATTATTAACGCAAAATTATTCAATCATACTATGGCCTTGAGTTTTCATTCAATTAACTATAACAATACAATATATGTGTATATTACGTGAACTCATCATCAAGCATGCTTCTGCATAATTAAGCATAGTATCTACACCATTCTAAATCATAGGGAAAATAATAAATCTATTTATTGAATTTCCCATTAAAATATTTAATATACTTTGCTTTCCTGTACTAGACCTGTATAATTTTATTGCATACCCCTTGAAGTCTCATTTTTTTTTTTTTTTTTTGGTGGGACCCTTGCCGGTGGCCAGGGATCAAACTGGCGCTGCAGAGGCTGCGGGCAGCCTGGCAACCCAGCACTCAACCGCTGTGCCACCAAGGGAGGCCCTGAAGTCTCATTTTTAAGAAAATATTTGTTCACTAGTTCTAAAGTAATATTAAGATTTATGTTCAACTTTTTAGAAAAGTTCATACATAGTTCCAATTTTTACAATATTTCACATATTCAGAATTGTTATTTATTCAGAATTGTAATGTCAAATCCTACTAGATAATCATGGTAAATTTGTGTTTACTCTCAAAACAATTGCTGCATCTGTCATAGGAAGATAACACATTTTCTTCATTTTTTTTTAAATTGTATAGTTTTTAATTGAGGTAATGTTGGTTTGTAACACTGTATATGATACAGGAGTATAAGTTCACTCTTCTTTAGATATGTTGTCATATCACGTCTGCTACCAAAGCAACAAAAATCCTCTACCATAGTCCAGCTATGTTGTCTCTGTTCCTTTTTAGTGGGCCAGTCTCACAAGAATGAGGCAGTATCTCACTGTAGTTTTGATTTGCATTTCCTGAATGACAAGTGATAACCAGTTTTTCATGTGCCTGTTGGTCATCTATATGTTTGTTCATTTGTTTTATTTGTTTGTTTGTTTGTTTTAATGGAGACATGCCTATTTAGTTCTTCTGCCCATTTTTTTTTAATTGGGTTATTTTTGCTTTCTTTTCGTTGAATTGTATGAGTTCTTTGTAGATCTTGGATATAGACCCTAGTCAGAAGTATGGTTCACAAATCTTTTTTCACATTTAGCAGGATGTCTTTTTTTCTAGTTATAGGTTTTTCACTCTACAGAGGTTTTTTAATTGGATATAGTCCCAGTTGTTTATATTCCTTTTCATTTCTGACTGTTGGAGATGAATCCACAAGATTACTGTCAAAGCCTATGTCATGGAGTGTTTTACCTGTTTTCTTCTGTGTGTTTTATGGTTTCAGGTCTTACAATCAAGTCTTTTATCCATTTTGACTTGATTTTTGCATATGATGTGAAATAGCGGTCTAGTTTCAGTCTTTTGCATGTGGTTGTCCAGTTTTCCCACCACCATTTATTGAATAGGCTTTCCTTTCTCCAGTGCATACTCTTGGATCCTTTGTTGTAGACTAACTGTCCATATAGGTGTGGGTTTGTTTCTGGGCTCTCAATTCTAGTCCATTGTTCAGTGTGTCTGTATTGTTCTAGTAACACACCAGTTGATTATTATAGCTTTGTAGTATAGTTTGAAATCTGGAAGTGTGAAATGGGTACTCTTCCTCTTTTTTGCCAGAATTACTTTGTTCAGGTATTTTGTGATTCCATATGAATTTCAGTAATGTTTGTTCTATTTCTTTGAAGAATACCATTGAAACTTTCATAGGGATTACATTGAATCTGTATATTGCTTCTGGTTAGATAGCTATTTTAATAATGCTAATTCTTCCAACCAGTGAACAGGGAATATCTTTTCATTTCTTTATATCTTTGATTTCTTGTGAAATGCCTTCTAGTTTTTATTATATATGTCTTTTATTTCCTTTGTCAAGTTTGCTCTTAGGTTGTTAATCTTTATTGATGCGATTATAAGTGGGATTTTTTTTCTTAATATCTTCCTCTTCTACTTCACTGTTTGCATAAAGGAAGACAACTCATTTTTTGTATATTGATTTTGTACCCTGACACTTTGCTGAATTCTACTTTGGAGTTTTTAAGGTGTTCTATGTTCATTATCAAGTCATCTATGAATGATAGGAAAGTTTGATATGATTCATCATCCATGATAGGGGAGATTCAGAGAAAGAAGAGAGGGATCATTTAGGTTGGGAGAGAAACACGAGAAAACATAAAAGAGCTTCATGTAGAACATTTGGAGGATTGCATCCAATGATCTTCTAATACTCCATAAGTTGACTGCCATGTCAATTAAACTGTTGTGGGTTGAACTGTGATCCCTTCCCACCCCCCCACCCCCCACAATTCATAACTTGGAGTACGAACCCTAAGTTCCCAAGTTCCTCAGAATGTGATTTCTTTGGAAATACATTGTTGCCAATGTAATTAGTTAAGATGAAGTCACACTATAATGTGGCTGGATGGACCCCTAACCCAAAATGACTTGTGTCCTTAAAAGGAAGGTGAGGGGAATTTGGACAGAGACACATATACAGAGAAAAGGTCATGGGAAGATTAGACTTTCACTGACACAAGCCAGTGAACTACCAGAAGCTCAAAGAAAGCTTGGAACAGATCCTGCCCTGGAGACTTCATGGGGAACCTGCCCCTGCCAACAATGTGATCTTGGAATTCTAACCTCCGGAACTATGAGACAAGTTTCTGTTTAAGCCATGCAGCTTGCAGTATTGAGTTATGGCCACCTTAGCAAGGTAATAACATACATCAACTAAAATTCACTACCTTTATATCAGTATTTTGTATGCATAAACACATAGGGTAAAATCCAACATACATATTCAGACATAGTCCACTGAAATTGACTAACATCTTAACTAATTACATGGGGGGAGGTGGTTACTATTTAATGTGCAGGCTGTATACATTCAAAAAGACCTTCGGTACACCTTCTTTCACCAATTTAAAAATGAGTCTTAACTAAACCAAAGCAAACCCTAGAATTCTGACTGCAGAACTGCAGCTATCAAAGGGGGAAGATGGGAAATGTGGAATGGGGCCCAATGGACTGTGGTGGAGGATTATGGGTGCTTTGGTGATGAGTTGAAGAGGTGTAAACCTATACCTTCAAGCCATATAGTGTCGTAAACTAATGCTACTTCAAAAAAATTAAATTAATTGTGGCTGCTAGGAGAGATGAGTAAAGTAGCAAAACAGGCCAGACCAGGCAACTCCCTACGTTCCACCTCCTGTGGGTGCTGGTTACACCATGGCACTGTGCATCATCAGCTTGTTTGGGTGCCGCCCCACTCTTGGTATTCACACTGTTTTCCTTGAGCCCCTCTTCTTAGTCAAATGATGCATCAGTTTATAGCACATGGAGCACCCAGTGGGGCAGAACTGGGCTTTCAGCTGTCAGCCTGAGAGATGGTCCAGAATGCTGATCCTCACACCCACCACTCTCCACCTTCAATAGCAGAAGATTCTGATTCTGAAATAACTATCCATATCTCTTTGGTTCTTTGGTTTTTTATTCATTGGCATCCCTATTTCCAAAAAAGTCTTAAGGTCACTTAAAACAAGAACACCCAGCCAAAATGTACATTATAAATTAAGTGGTCTGGAGTGGACAGGGTAGGTACCCATTGCATAAAGCTGCTTTTATGGACTTGGATGGTCTTCTCATATACCTAGGAGAAATGCATGCCTGCCTGTGCTGTCAAAACATATACTTTCAAGTTCTGAAATAAGTTTTATCTGCCATGAAATTACCCTTTACG